AATATTTAAGAAAAAATGACATCAATTCTTCATAATATTTTCTAGGAAATAGAAGAGGAAAGATTATCTCCTAACTCTTTTTACATGGCTAGTACTGTCATGGTACCAAAACACACAAAGACAGTACAAAAAGAGAGAAAACTTCAGGTCAATATCCTTCCTGTACAGAGGTTAAAAAAAAAAAATCTCACAAATAAATATCGCAAGTAGTATCCAGCTATATAAAGGACTAGAATACAACATAATAAAGTGGTGCTTACTGTGGGACTGAATGATTAATCGGTATTAATACTGAAAATGCATAATCATATCAATCGATGCAGAAAAAACACCTGACAAAATTCAACATCCATTTAAAACTTTTAGCAAACTTGGAATATAAGGAAACTTCCTCCACCTTATAAAGCGCATCTACACAACACCTAAAACTGACATGTTACTTAATGACGAGAGACTGAATGCTTTCATCCTAATACCAGGAAAAAGACAGGGGTGTCTGTTCTCCTCATCTTTACTCAGTATTGTGCTGGATGTTCTAGCTACTTTAGTAACACAAAAAACAGAAACAAATTCCAGATTGGAAAGGAAGAAGTAATGTTGTATTTCTTTGCAGATAGGATCATTTAAATAGAAAACACAATGGGATCCATAAAATGACTACTATTCCTACTACGTAAGATTAGAAAAGTTCTAAGACACAAGATCAACATATAAACTCAATTTTATTTCTACATATTATCAATGAAAAACTGGAAATTGAAATTTAAGAAAACAATATCATTTAACAACATTTAACAAGAAAACAATATGAATACTGAGAGATAAATCTGATAAAAGATGTCAGAGATGTGTACCTTCAACATAAGAAGACACAAAGTCAAAACAATTGTGTTTGTGTACACTAGTAATACACAATTTTCAACAATTTTTAAAAATGAATAACACCAAAAAGTAAGTAGGTATAAATCTGACAAAACATGCACAAGTTCTGAATGATAAAAAGTACAAACAAGTGGATGAGAGAAATCAAAGACCTAAATAAGAGGAGAGACATACCATGTTCAAGGATTAAGAAAATCAACATAGTAATGATTTCAGTTTTCCGAAGTTGATCTGTAGATTTCATATAATACAATTAAAATACCAACAAGGTTTTTTTGTAAACATAAACAGGCTAATTCTAAATTTTATATGTGAAGTCAAAGGAACTATAATAAGTAAAACAAGTTTGAAAAATAACAAGCTAGAGGAATTCTAGAATCCTATTTTATGCCTCATTATAAAGCTATGATAACTAAGACAAAGAACTACTGGCAATGAGAGAGACCCCAAAATGAACTGAAGGTAAGAGAATCCAGAAATAGACCCACGCATACACAGCCGAATGATCTTCGATAAAGCTGCAGAAACATTTCAATGGACACAGGACAGTGTCTTCAACAAATGGTGCTGGAGCAATCGAGCATCTCTATGCAAAACAATAAATCTTGACCTAACCTTACACCGTATTAAGAAAATACACTCAAAATGAATCCTAGTTCTTAATGGGGAACTTAAAATTATAGAACTTTTAGACAAAACCACAGGAGAAAATCTTTATAACCTAGAGTTAAGCAAAAGAGATCTTAGATATGACACCAATGGCATAACTGATTTTAAAAAATGAGAAATTAGATTTCATCAAAATTAAATATGTTTTTACAGGAAAAAAATATTGAGAATGAAAAGACAAGCTACAAACTCAGAGAAAATCTTTACACATCACACAAGCAATGAAAAACTCACATCCAAACTATACAAACAGCTTTTACAACTCAACACAAAGAACACAACCCAACTAAAAATAACTAAAAGATTTAAACAGACACTTCACTAAACAATATATACAAATGGACAAATAAGCACATGAAAAATGTTCAACATCATTAGGAAAATGCCATTAGGGAATTCCAAGCTGAAACCACAATGTGATACAACTACCTATCTACTTATGACAATATAAAAAATACTGAGACTACCAGGTGTTAGTGAGGAGGGACAGCAAAGCAAATTCCCATACATCCTGTCTTGGAATACAAAAGAGTACAGCCATTTCCAAACTGGAAAACAATTTGACAGTTCCCAATAAAGTTAAATATATGCTTACCATACGATCCAGTAATCTTACTATTTACCCTAGAGAAATGAAAAAACTGAGGTTCACACACACAAAAAGAACAGAAATGCTTCTAACAGCTCTACTCATAATTGCCAAAACAACTGGAACAACTCACCTGCCATCACAGGTGAACACACTGGTTTATTAATAATGATGGAATATTACTGAACAATAAAAAAGAACAAACAGTAGATATATGAAATAACTTAGACGTCTCTCACAGGCAACTGTACTGAGTAAAAGAAGCCAGTCTCTAGAGGTTATATATGATTCTAATTTTTTATAACACTACATTACTATTTTATAACATCATCAAAGAGACAAGCTAAAGTAATAGAGAACAAATCAGTGTTTTTCAGAGATTAGAGGTAGGGCAAAGATATGATTATAAAGATATAACCAAGGCACAATTACAGAGGCAGAAGAGAGATTCTGAGGTTGATGGAACTATCCTGTATCCCCATCATGGTGGCTGTTATATGAACCTGTGTATTTAGATCATAGAGCTATATGCCAAGAATAAATCAATTTTATTGCATAATAATTACAAAAACTAAAACAAAACACTCAAAAAGACTATGATGAATAAAAAAACCAAGTTCGCTCAGCACTATCTTCCCCCAAAGTAGATGTTTAATTAACATCTGTTGAATAAAACACTGTAAGTTGGCTATAGTTTCTGTTTCAATGTTAGTCTCATTTATACCCCAAAGCTTCAAAAATTTAAATAACTTTTTCTAGTGTCATTAACACTAGGTAAATGCCACATAAAGATGTCTAGCTTGTGAAAAAAATCATTAAAAATATCAAATAAAAGTCAGAAATCTAGATTTCCCAATGAATTATTTTAAACTTAAAAAAATTTATCATTAACGGATAACTTTGCCTTTATATCTTGTATGCTTATCTTCCTTATTTAAAAAAGGGCAGGATCCATGATGAAGTCATTACTCAAAGGCATGGTATATGAAACACATATTTGATAAATGTTTACAGAACTAACTACTCTTTACTAAACACGGAATGAACTGAATAGCTAACCCATTAATTTATCTCAAATACTAAATCTTTCTAAGATTTATCCTTTTGTTTCACTTAGCAAAACACTTGAAAATTTTTCTTCTTTCTGGCTCTAACCATGGTGTGTGCTCGCATCACTAACTGTCATTTCCACGCTGCTATAGCTAAGCGGACGATCTATCGGCGTTTGCCTATAGCTCCTGTGCAACCAACCAAACCTCTTAGGGTCCTGCCATATTACCCCCTATCCTGAAGTGTCACAGATCTGACTAGAATTCATTCATTCTGATCCATTAGCCAGGCAGGCTGGCTAAAATACACGTATGTGAAGGAATAAAAGTAACTTCATAAAAACAAACGAACGAACAAATAAAAACCCACTGATGTTGGTCTTGCTTTGCTCTAAACTGTATGAAGTAGAGTGTTCCTATGCTGAAAGGAATCGGTAATATAGATCAACTTTTCAGAAGTACCCAGCCTAAAAACTAAACACATTTTTTAAATTGCAAGGATGTTGTCTGCATATATTTACAGTACAGAGCAAGTATAATTATACTTCTTTTAAATTTCTATTTGTTAAATTATTATTTTAGAGCTCTCTACCTTATTTTTCAGGTATTATTTCTGAATATTAACATATTATCATCTCCAATGTACCTATGGGTTTAAGTCAAATTTTCAATTAAAAATATTGTATTTTACAGCTTCGATAAATTAAGCTGTGAAGTGTATTATAATGGTGCTAAAATATATTCATTTTTTTACAATTTACAATATATGCCTTGATGCCACATTACACCATCACTTGCAAATAAATCAAACTGCAATCCTCTTGTCAGCATCCAGTCAAAAATGTAGTAATTACCTATAATTACACTATCCAACCAGACAATGAAAAATAATTAACCTGATTGAAGCACTCACAGTAATTTTATTGTATTCAATCTATGACTAGAATCACAAACAACAAGTTCGCTTGTTTAAAATAATGAATTATTATGCACAGTTGCAGCTTTCTATATTTAAGCTCTAAGGACATTGTTGATATTCAACATACTGATTAATAAGGATTGCTATTTATTATGAACAAGTAAATAACAAAGGCAATTTTTGAAAAAAGTTTACATAGAAAATACTGGTCCTCAAACTTTCAAATTTTCATGAGCACCTCATCCATTGGCTTCCATTGGTCTCCTCAGCACCTGCAATTTATTGTTCAGTGCCTTCACATAACGGCTTTTGAACAAATCATTATAGGGACAGAAGTTTAAACCATAGAGCAGCACACTTTCCTATAAAATTACAGTAAGGGTCAATTATTATCAAGACGAATTTCATAACTTAGCACAGTAAACTATATCTGGATCATGTGAGCACATAATTACATAAGGCTCCTTGAAAATATCCATTTAAGCTAAAAGTGATGAAAGTCAATGAATTTGGCACTAGATTGGATTTAATTAGAAAACCTGTTTTGTTTCAACTTAACCTGAAATAAAATTGCCGTAAACAATCCTAACATGAATAAATTTAAAATAATATGACAATCTCATCTCAATATCATGATTAATATTTGCGTAAAATATTAGAATTGGGAAAACCTCACAAAAGGACATTTTCTAAACATAGGTGAGCACAGAGACAGGCTTATATCTGTCAATCATAAGAGAGGTACATGATTATTAAGTTTACCTAGACAGAAATGTCCTTTCAATACTCATTAAAACCATGTTTTTATAATATAGGTATCCAAAGTTAGCTCCTTTCCCCAGAGCACAATATTAGTAATACAGAATTTTTAGTAAACTCTCAAAAAAATTACCTGCTTCTGTAGCCATCTTTCATGCCTTCGTTGTTTCCTTCTCAGATTTTTCAACTTGCCCCTTTCTCTTTTATTGAGCCTCTGATTAATGGCACCCAATGAGAAAGTGCCCGAGCGCAGGAAGTCCAGTGGAGAGAGGTGTTCTTCCTGGTCCGAGGCCTCTATCATGTTCCGACCAGCTGAGGGCAGGTCCATCAGGAAAGTCAGGTTGTTAGAACTAGCATGGTCAGTGTACACTGCGGAAGCTTCTAGACCACACTGAAATTCTCCTCCTCTTTGTGTCTGGGTCTCACGGGGAGTCACTGAAAATCTTTGCAGCAGCATATTAGGATCAAAATTGGATGAAATCTGAAAGGAACAGTTATTTTTACTAGATTCTAAAGGCAAGCCTGAAAGGTGAATAGGCTGTGTTTCATTTAGCCCGGGACAAGCAGCAGTCTTACTATGTATTTTATATAAAGTGGGTAATAATGTCAGTTTCTCACTGATGTTCAGATCCAAACTATGTGATTTCCTATGAAAAGCTCTTGTAGTGCATCTGCCCGTCACAAGCTGAGGAACAAAAAGCTGGTATTTTGGATCTGATGCTTTGAAGAGCAGTTTTTCATTCTTCATCTGAAAATATGTTGACCGTACCTCCAGGCAGAGTGCTTCTGTTAATCTTCCAGGGCCATTATTATTTTGGGCCATATTTAAAAGCCTGTGATTTCTGTTTTTGGAGGTGCCACCTGTCAGCAGAGTTTCCTTGTCACAACCTGACTGAACTCTAGGATGTGACAAGTATTTCAGCGATGGTCTCATTAGTCGGCCTGCCTGTGTTGGCTGATAATCGGTCCGGCTCTTAGAGAGATGTACAGCTGCAAGCTGGCCACAGGAACATTTTGGAGTGCTGACAAAATTAAAGCCCCCTAAACGGGCCCCACAGAAAGGGCAATTCAGTTTTCCAACTGTCCACTGGGCCTACAGGTAATAAAGGAAAATAAGACAATGCTTTCATTGTAAAGTAACCAAAGAGAATGTGAGTTGTTTTGTTTTGTGTTTTTTTTTTTTTAAGCCAACCACATGAAAGTTTTCTATGCCACAGAAAAGGCTAGCTTTCTGTTTTCTGATTAGTAGACAGACCAATAAATGGAAATAAGCCTTTTAATAAACAGAGATAAGCAACTCCAAAGTTCTAGAATGATAACATATTATACATTATGCCCATCTCAACAATACTCCTAAGAATTCTAAAAGACTCTCTCAAACAGTAGGTTGAATATGGATGCAGTGTGAATTAATGAAAAGAAAAATACACTATGGAACCAGGAAGCAAATCAGTCTACAGAGCTTAATTTGCAAGTAAAATCTCACAGAAAAGTGTCTGTTTTGATACACTTCTTGCATACCAAACACTGTGGGAGGGAACTTTACCCAACCAACAGAATAAAGCTCTTCCTGCCTTTTTACATACAACCAAAAGATATTGGTTGCGTACATCAGAGTACAGTTTCTATATTCAAATGGGAAATTAACAATAAACTAGCTAAAAATTAGTTTTTCAACAGAGGTAGTGGAACATCTGTAGCATCCTGATACATTTTGTAAAGTTCAGGACACTTAAAACCAGTGTATTGGCATGTTCCCAGGAAATCATTACAATGTGAAAATGAATGCAAGGGATACCTATCAGATGTTATTTTTTAACAACAACAAAGAAAGTCATTGGAGAATGGCAGCTATACTTTTCCAAAATCATATTACTTATAGTTTTCTAATACATAGGTGTTTTGAATTGCGAGAAAATAATGATACTATAATGTCAACAAAATGAGTTCCTGCTCTTATAATATTTCATCAAGGAGACTTAAAAATGTGGTAATTTGATTTTGATTGTACCACTGACGGTCATTACTTATCTAGTTTATTTTATATGTGTGTACATACACGAATGATGCAGGATATTTCATTCAGTCATTGGGCACTATTCTAGGTGTATCTAAAAGATACACTAATAAACCACAGAGAAAAACTTCTGACTTCATGGAACTTATATTCTAATAGGGGAGCTAGGCAATTAACAGGGTCAGTAAGCCATATGTGTATGTGGGAAAGTGTGTGTGTGTGTGTGTGTGCGTGCGCGCGCACGCAGTAATGTTTATATTTATACATGTCATATACACGTATGCATATTTACCAGTACTATATATTACTTATTGTGTGTGTGTGTGCATATGTAAAATATAAATAGGTATATAAAACAGAAAAGGGAGAAAGGAAGTGTGAAGAGTGGTAATAGTGGGGAAGGGCAATTGATAGCTTGCACAGGCAATGCCTCATTGTGATTAAGACATATGGAAATGAAGGAAGAGGGGATTAATTGTGGGAAGAGCAATCAAGGAAGGGAAGAGCAATCAAGGTACTTCGAAATACCAATTTCGAAGTCTGAGGGTGAAAAGTACCTATAACACTCCAGTAATAATGAAGCCAGTAAATGCAATCAAGTGTTACACACCCTTTCTTATCTCTTGAAAACATGTATTCAATAAAAAATAGCTCTAGAATGAGGATAAAAAAACTTGAAAGGATTACATTCCTAATTGTACTCAGAAACTAAGGAACTTACTTTTTGTATTAGGCAGTTTATCCATTCTGGAAGAGCTTCTATATCCATGTGCCACACATGACAAATATTTTGATCATCAGCTGAATCATGTCTATCCTGTTGTATAAAAATGCATGATATTAGTCATTACCAGGTTCTGGATTTATTTAACGAATTTCATGTTTGAGTAAAACACAAAAATATACATCTAGTTTTAGCTAGGAAGAAAATATACACTGCTCTCCTCTCCTCACTCCCTCCTTAAACCCACAAAGACAAAAAAAATTTTTTTTCAGGGAATAACCATTTGGGAATTAAAAAAAAAACATCAAATTAAATTTAAAATTTAGCAATAAGTCACTCAATAGAAAAATCTGGCACCCTATTCCTTTTTCCTGGGTGTAAGAAAAAACAGCGCCATTCATGACAACTTTCCTGGGCCTTTCATCTCTTATTCCATCTGTACTCTACTAATGACAGAATAAAGGAGTTGCTATATAATCTATCAAGATGCTCAAGAAAAGTACAAGAGGATGAGGGAGAAGAAGAATTGTGTAGGCAGCTGGAAAAGCCCCAACTAAATTTCAGCTGTGTTAGAACAAAAAATATTTCAAAGAGAGATACTTTTGGCTTTCTGAAATAGATATGTAAAAATAACTGTGATATATAGGTGAAGCGATACACGTATCAAAAAAATGCAGGACAGAGCAGCATGGAGATGTATGACTGTTTATGACCTTAGTGAACCTTAGGCCAATTATTTTACCTCTCTGGGTTTCAGTTTCTTCACCTGTAAAATACTTCTAGATAGTTGCTAAGGTCCCTTCTGAGTATACAGAATATTATATGATGACAAAAAAGAGTTGCTTGAGAATAACAGGGAAAAATAAGGCTTCTGCCCACGGACCCATTTCCAAGGTGAGATTTTACATAGATATAGTGTTTCCAAGTTGCACAATTCTTTTTAAATTTCCCAAGCAGTTACACAACTAGATACTATAATTGTATTAACAAAATAAACAAGGAAATTACTAAACATCCTTTCTAAGTTTGTATTCATAGTGACACGAATGAAAGAAGACTGAATGTCTTTAAGAACCTTTCAATGAATAATTTACATTGTGACTTGGAACCAAGATCACCCTCAATTTCTAGGTTTAATCTCCCAAGCTGGTTCCTCTGGGCCCTATATCACTTTTCTCTTCCATTCATACGTATTAAGATACTAAATGGTGGCCCCATATACAAGAAAAGTTTCAGTATGATGTATTTATATATCAGAAAGATCTATAAAGAAGCCATCTTAATCTACTTTCTGTCAGGCTCTTAAAAAATCATGAAGTAAATTAAAAGAGGAAAGGACAGGAGATATTGTTGTATGTTAGACCACATTTCACTATTTTGTACACCGTACACAATTGTATTTTATATGTATTTATTTATTTATAATGGAGAAAAAATACTCTTGTTAAAAGGTTTCAAAATTTTCTAATTCTAATGTTTTAAAAATCTACAACACAAGTAGAAAATACTTCACTGACCAATACAAAGTCTGTTGAAAAGGATTTATAGTGGGCCAAAGAGTTACTTTACAGTTCTATTAATGATGCCTGAACTTTAATTCTGGCTAACAAAATGCAACTTACCATGTCAACAGTGAGAATAATGAGAAATAGCCAGGCAGGCCCATGCCAAAATGAAGAACGTATTACTGAATGGAAACAAAGTGAGGAAGAGAGGAGGAGATACTACGACACACAAAGGTTTATTTTATTCTAGATTCTCATAAAACAGAAGATGGAAAAATTCAGGCAGAGCGAAGAAATTACTGGTTTCAAGGTGGTAAAGTGAGTGCATATTCCAGTTGATCCTCTCTCTCAAAACAAAAAACCAATATAAGACATTTACAAAAAGAACCCAACCGCTGAATTAGGAAATACAGATGGGGAGATTTCAATGAATCAGAAATTATGAGGAACCTGTGAAAGATTAGTGAAGAAATAAAAGCACAATGTATCTAAGTTCCAAGTACATAATAGATGAGAACAACACAAAGAATGGTCCATGTCAAACAGGTGAAAACCAGAAACAGAAAAGGTCCTGGGTAACTATCACGGGCGGTGAGTAAGTCTGTGTGTCTCCAGGCAAGAGGAGTACTTGGACAAGAGAAAAATGGGGCAACATTCAAGGGTAGCTAGAGATGCCTAAAAAAGATGGAAAGCATTTGCAGCAAGTTTAGAAGATGAGCTACTGAGGACCAATGTCTATTCTTGCTAAAAATAGTACTACAGCATATGAAGAAAGTGAACTAGATTTGTTTGTACTAATAACATGCATCGCTGCTATATACTCTTTGTTCTTTTAAAAAAAGGCAGGTGAAAGAAATAAATGCACTCTGAACTATGATATTAAAAGCATATATAACCTAAAATTAGATGAGCAGTATTATGGCTTTTCTATGGAAACAAACAAAAATGGATAGAAAAAGTCCCTAAAAGGCCATGTAGTAAGTTGCTAACATTGGTTAGATTTTTTTTTAATTTTTTTAAAACATTTATTTATTTTTGAGACAGAAAGAGAGGGGGAGGGTCAGAGAGAGGGAGACACAGAATCTGAAACAGGCTCCAGGCTCTGAGCTGTCAGCACAGAGCCCGACGCGGAGCTCGAACTCACAGACTGCGAGATCATGACCTGAGCTGAAGTCGGCTGCTTAACTAACAAAGCCACCCAGGTGCCCCAACATTGGTTGGATTTTAAGGAAGAAAGACCAAGGGTAGGAGTTACTAAAAGGAAACTTTAACTTTCTCATAATTGTTTTAATGGGAGAATATATTAAATTACACTTACATGATTACAATTTTATTTAAAAATTGGTTCAACTGAAAAGGAAATAAATTGATTATTTCTGATTCTGGCAATCCTAAAGTAAGTGGAATTAGATATGCTCTCAGCATTATAATAGATAATACTAGGGAAATATATTTTTAAAAAAATTGTATAAGACCTTGGACAAAATAAATGGCAGGACTGCAAACACTGAGAAGAGAAACATAAATGAGGGGAGCCTAAAAATCACCCTTGATTTCTGCCCTGGGGAAATTCTAGAATCTTGATGTAGGGAGGAGGAAGCCAAGAACATAGAAGAAGTCTTGCTGATAAAATGAAGATCTAAGTGTACAGAGGCTAAATAGCTAGAGTTTATAGACAATGTACTGGCAAGGAGAAGCCTACAAATAGAAAAAAATTCCAGAGAACTGTAGGGATTCCTTTAAATCTTTGGTTGAATACCAATATGAACACATGTTGGGTGAAATACCAGAGAACCAGATAAAGAAAATTTACCAAGGAAAAGGCATCTGCTAGTGAACTGTAAATTTAACTATTCACACAGGGACCCCAGCAAGCTGGGAAGATATTCATGTTCCAATTAGCCAGAGTAGCAAGATCTCAATGAACATCTTGGGTATTTAGTAGATTCTAAAGAGTCCTGTCATAAGAGCAGAGCTAAATTAGCCCTAGAATAAAGCCTATTAGAAATCAACCTACAAAAATTTAAAAATAGGCCTGCAAAGAACCAAAGTCAATCACTAGTAATTTATATGCCTGCTAAAAACCTCTTTAAAGGAAGATAATAATATTCAGACACCCAATATTAAAACTAAATGTCCAACTTACAAAAAAAAATTACTAGATACGTGCAAAGCAAAAATGACCCATAACGAACAGAAAAAAATCGAGCAACAGAAATAAACCCAGAAAAAAGTGGAAATGACTGCATAAGCAGATAAAGACATTAAACCAGCTATTATAAATATGTTCAAGCATTAAAAGTAAAACATGAATAAAACAAAAACAGAAAAGTCTTAAAGTAACAACAAACAAATGGTATATCTAGAGATAAAAATTCTATCCAAATTAAAAATGTAACACTGTGTGTCAACTATACTCAAATAAAAACTTAAAAGTAAATTTAAAAATTTTAATAATTTTTTAAAATAAAAAAAAAAAAGTGAGAATGAAGCCCTGTAGCTCTCAATCAGAGAGTAAAGTAAGTTTCTTTGACCAATGACTGAGTTTAGCTGTAGGTTTTTCACAGATGACTTTTATCAAGTTGAGAAATTTTCCTTCTTCATTTTCTGAGTTTCTATCATGAATGGGTATTGAGTTTTATCAAATAATTTTGCCACATGTATCAAAATGTTCATTTTTTTCTTCTCCATTCTATTGATACACTGAATAATATTGATTGACTTATGAATGCTAAACTAATTTTTATTACATAATGTGTAAATTTATTCCTAAATTGTTCATGTTTTTTGATGCTGCCATAACTGGTGTTTTACCAGTTGCTTACTGCAGTCTTCTGTGGCTAGTTTAAATAGAGTTGAATTACCATACTGACCTTATAGTCTACAAACATACTAAACTTACTCCTTGCTGGTTTTTTGTAAATTCCTTAGCATTTACTAAATATATGATAATCTATTACTAAATTGTACTAATGTTTTATCAAATATTTTTGAGACTATCTTCATAAGAGGTGTTGATGTGTGGATATCTTTTCTAATAGTATCTATTTTTTTCCTCTGTTCCCCTCTCTCTCTGCCCCTTCCCTGCTTCTCTCTCTCTCAAAAATAAATAAGAATGGGGAAAAAAAGAATACTTGTTTGTTTTTGGAGGGTACAGGTTTTCATCTCAAATTCATCTCCTTTAATTGATGTAGGTCTGTGCGTAAAGTCTATTTTCTCTTGATTCATTTAAATAATTTGTATCTCTTTCAAGTTTTATTCCATCTAGGTTATCAAATTTTTTCATAAAATTTTTCACTACATTGTTATTATTCTTTTAAGGTCAGTGCCTCTATAATGATGTCTCTCTTCTTCCCTAATATTAGTCATTTGTGTTTTATCTGTATTTTCTTGTTCACTCTAGTTAGTGACATATTAATTTCATTGTCTAAAAATATATCTTTTGATTTCATTCTATTTTCCTTTTTATTAACTTCTGACAGGTGTTAGTTTCTTCCTGTTGCTTACTTTTTTAAAAAATTTTTTTCAGGTTTTTTTCTTTTAAAGTTTATTTATTTTTGAGAGAGAGACAGAGTACAAGCAGGGGAG